AAATCGATACAGGGCTTTAGAATATCGATACAGTATCGGGGAAATGAAATATCGCGATATTTCAGTGTATCGATATTTTCTTACACCCCTAGTTGATACTTCTACTTCCAAAAAAGTATTTTTTAACCCTAGTATCTATACTTCTACTTAAGTAATGAATGTGAATACATTTGACACCTCTGGAGGCTTCCACTCTGCTGCCTGGCTGAGGTCATGTCAGTTCAGCAGGAGGTCCTACATGAAGTATCAGGACAAAATATGTTCAGACTGTTAAATATAGGCATATAAAAAGAGTCCAGACCACCTGTAAAGGTGCTTGAAAACTATTTTATGCAAATTGAATCCGTTTAGACCTGTGTTTACCAGTACCTGGACCAACTGAACAGTCCTCAGCTTTGACACGAGTTGGTTTGTTTTTCTTCAGCTAATCTGCTGCTTATCAATTTTTAGGAGGCGATGTGGGAGAAAGCCTGGAGGAGGTGTAGGCTTCAGCCTTGAGGAGGCATCCTGCTGCAGGGGAGGAGCACAGTCCTCCTGTGGCCCTCTTGTGGCCTCCTCTGTGGCACTCTGGGGCTCTTAAAGTAAGATGTCCCTCAGCAGCAGCCCTGCAGGCGGGAAAGGTGTGGACTCCAGTGCCGTGGAACCTTACGACAGCGGTGACGAGTGGGACATAGGTGTTGGAAATCTGATCATTGACCTGGATGCTGACTTGGAGAAGGACAAACTAGAGATGTCAAGCAGTAAGGAGGAAGGGGGGTTGGCGGCGCCCCCCAGTGCTGTGGCTGTTTTACCTGACAATATAAAGTTTGTTAGTCCTGTAGCTGCCATGCAGAGTAAAGATGGTAAATCCAAATCAAAGCGTAGTAAAAACTCCAAGGACATTGTTAAGGCCTCGCTTTCAGATGGAACTAAGAAGGATGCTCAGGGTAGGTCCTCTGTGGACCTGCCACCTCAGAACTCTGCCCCATCTAAAGGAACTGATAAGTCCAGTAAATTATCCCGGTTCCCCTCTTCTGGGAAAAACGACAGGGATTTGGTGTGTGGGAAAGCTAAAAAGGACAAACTGGAGGTTGCAGCCACGAGAGTGTTCAACACAGAGGAGGCCGGGGCCTCTGTCCTACCTCTGGGAGCTCCTCGCAACAGCTCGTTTGAGAGCCAACAAAACCCGGAGTTCAGCTCGGCCGAACAATTTGGAGATTTGGCTCTGGACTCTGCAGGACTCGGCCAGGCTGTCGCCATCATCACAGAGCAGGAGGAGGTGGATGGTGGCGACTGTCAGAATCTGAAAAAACTCCTCAACTGTGACAAGGTATGGTGATAATATTTTATGTTTTGTTTTTTCTAGGGATGTCCCGATACCACTTTTTCACTTCCGATACGATACCGATATTACAACTTTGAGAAATGTC